CTACAGGTCGAGTCTTTTCATATTTTTTTTCAAAATTTATCTTTGTCAATTTCACAAAATGGAAAAATTTTGTAGTTTGTAGGTTTGTGCAAAAACATATTTACTAAATTGGGAAGTGTACATCCAAATTTTAACATATTCATTCTTTTGTTATGATACAATTGAATCGTTAAAAACATTGGCTCGACGGTGCAAACAGCATTTTTGTTGGTGTACCACTGCAAAAACTCTTTGATCACAGTCATTCCGTTTTCTGCCAAATCTACTGTAAGCAATTGTGATTATCCAAGAGAGTTGGGGCACAGTCTTGATATGAAGCTTTTTCCGTGCTGGTTGTGAATCAAGTCCAATTATTCTCAAAATTTCATACTAACCGACGTGTTTATCTAGGGCAAAATTTCGTTTTTTTATTGCTTTTTTTGTTGCCATTCCGAAGAGTTTACGTCATCTGGGTTGTCAAAAAACACATAAGAAAAAAAAATTGATTCTTTTAGCTTTGTAGGTTTTAAGAAAATTAATTCAGAGCTTTTACGGCACTCAAAATTATCATCAAGTTGCAAAATTAATCATTTACAACTTTGAAAGATCGATATTGAAGAAATCAAATTTTACTTCTCCAATGATGATTTTCGACAGACAATTGTTTTCTATTTTTATAAATAATGGATTAGGTACGTAGTCTTCAAATTCAATTCAAATTTATTACGATTACTTTTAAACAAGATAAAGTAATCACAACTCTTTCCAGATTTTAATTCAAAACAATAATTTATTTTTTCTGAATTCCCAACAATTGGGTTGACATATCAACTTCTTCTGTGTTTTAACGCATTCACATTGTGCTCAAAACTGTTATTTGGATAATTCTTGCTTCGTTCATTTAATTGATCAAAGATTTTTTCTTCTCAATGATAATTCATTCATAATCTGGATTTTTTAATTTCAATGTTCTCAGCCAAAAAGACTCAGATTGAAATCAAAAATAAAGTTCCGTGGAATTTTGTTGTTTGAAAAATTGGGCTCATAAATCAGATTTGTTGATAAGAAACCAGAATTAAAACTTTTTTCGACACAGTTTGTAGTTTGTGTCACTTTTAATTTTTCTGTATAGTTTTTACAGTTTGTTACCTCAGACGCCGGACTAATAAAAATTATACTTTTTAAAGAGGGTTGTGCGGAGATAAAACTTTCTCATTCGGAGTCTGTTCAATTTTTTAAGACATTTTCGTAACTAGCACAGCAAAAACACTCAAAGAGGCTATCAGTATCATTCTCAATTCCTCAACAGTTCAACCTAAATGAATTGTGCAATACTCCTTCGAGCTAGATCCTTTACCTCTTCTCCTTAATGTACATCAATATTGTAAATGATGTTGTTGTTTTCACATGTTTTTTTTCATTTTCTCGGTATGAATGACTTAACCTTTTATACTTATTTTCTTATAAAATCATGACGTCAACTTTTAATAGAATTGACGTCAATGCTTATGTAAATTTTCTTCTATGGATTAATTGAGAAAAATTCAAGTTATTTTTGTAAAACATTAGCTAATCAGAAATCAGCCGTTTCAAGAGGTAATTTTCGATGAAAACTTGAGTTGAATCAGGGAAGCACCTGTGAAAACTTTGAGGAAAACCTAGATTGACTCCAGTTACTCTAACCGAAAAAACTCTAAGCGATTTCCTCATTAATGCAATGATGTGGATTTATAAAGTTTTTTATTTTTTGGACATTCATATTGTCCAAGTTAGATTTCTCCGACCATATAAAAAGTTTAGACTTAGGCCAAACTTTGCGTATTCAAGCTTGAAACTTACGGTTGAATTGCACCTGACAAAGATAAAAACCTGAACTAATCTAGAAAATTTGAAATTAAACGAAACGTCGTATGATAAAATTTTAAAGAATCTTTTTATTCCATACTTAAAGCCTAATTCTGACAAAACTCCTAGCAAAGCTCTCTGTTTTCTTGTTTCCCTAAATTCCCTAAAGTTTGTCAAAGCTCACAAACTAAATCGATCAGAGTTCGAACAGAATTTCCAGAGATTCGCTGTGAAAAAGTTCGCAAGTTTGAGCTTTCCTCTGAAATTTACTCAAAATAGTTTAAAGATCTTCTCAAAAATCACCAGCTTCTCATTGCTTACTTACAATACAAAAAATTCAACTGATTGATGAAAGAACTTGCAGTAAATGTTCTTTCCTCAAATAAAATTCTGTTTTTTGTTGTTGTTTATAAATAGAAATTTTTTTAGTTTTACAATGAACAACCAGTGTTCTTTCATTTTTTTAAGTGCTTTTTTCAAATATTTGGAAGGTCTTAGTCTTTCAGAGGAAAATTTAATTGGATACGACAACCCAAATTAACATTTTTTCGACTTGGAAACGTCAAAAATTAGAAAAGTCACGAAAAGAATTGACTGGATACGAACATGCAAAAAAAATTTCAAAAACTTAAATGTAATTGGACATGACTACCGTTCATAGATGGACAAAGAACTCCGCTTGGTCAAATAAAAATACTTGACATGATGGTACACCTCAATTTTAGATAATTTTTTTTTTGTTTCTAGTCAGCTTCATCGATTATCAACTCCTCTGAGCTCAATTCTTCTAAATTTCATTCATTGCCTTTTTCTCTCTACTCAACCTTCGTCTCTTGATTCAAAAATACTGTTCTCAACTGAGAGCAACAATCTGTTTCACTCCTTATTTCAATGTTTTGGTTCAAGTTAAAGGGCGGTAAACGGCTTCTAGAGTCTGTTTGCGACTTAAGTCTCCCAAGACAAGTGTTGTCCAGGGTTGAAATTGTGATGGGAGACTTCAATTATCATCACCAGATGCGTTTTATTATCACAAAGAAGCCTCTTCGAATGATGGGAATAATGTCGGAGGTTGCAGTGCACGTTTGGAGGGAGTGTCCCATGGATCATGGTTCCAAATATATGGCCCAACCTGTGAACGATTTCCTTTTTCTCTAGGCAGACAAGGACTTGCCGAGAATCCAATTAAAATTGAAAAGGATGCGGTGATTTATGAACCACAGATTCCAGTGAGCGATCCATCAAGTGAATCAAGTCAACGAAGCCAAGACCAGCTTTGCGCTCCAGTAAGAACTTCAACAATTCGAGAACTCAGCTGCTCGACATTTCCTTGGTTTGTAAATATTTGGTTAAGCTTTGTAAGATAAACTTGTTTACTACAAATTTTTTGAATTTTAAGTGATAAAATAAAAACAGTTTGTACAAAAAAAATTAGTTATAATAGTTCATGAATCTTTCAAAAATGTCAAAAATATCTAAGTCGTTGATTTTTTTATTTAAAAAATCAATTTTTTTTTTCTGTTTTGCAAAAAAAAACTAACATTTTTTTCTTATCCACATGTTTGAATAAAAACAAAGCCATTTTCACATCTTGTACAAGTTTTTGCAACAGTTTTTGCACGCATCTTAAAACAGTCATAACTGTTTTCGCAACTTGCAAAAACTTTTGACAACATTGTTAGCGAAACGGTCGATGCTGAAAACTGAAAACGTTTTTGCTTCCTGCAAAAAAAAAACCACATTTTCTTCGTTCTAAGAACAGTTCAGCAATTTTTTTCCACATTTGTTAATTGTTTTTCTTTGAAATTTTTAATTTCGTTTCTAACATTAAGCAAAATCGATTTTTGCATTTATGTTGATTAAAAACAAAAAAAAAACACTCTTTTAAGATAGGAAAGAGAATTCGTATTCATCAAAAATGAAAACTTACTAAAACAATTTTTACTTGTTTTTTTAACGAAAGTATTTGGTTTTTTTAATTTATTTTTGCACACTAGTGAAAAAAAATTCGAACGTAAATTGCATCCTGCAAAAAAACTTAAAAGAATTTTCGCGTTTTTGCTGAAAAGTTCAAAACAATTTCCGCAACTTGAAAAAAATTCAACAGATTTTTTGCCTGTGTTTGTTCAAAAAATCAAATTAAACTTTGCAAGCTGTTTGAAAAACGATCATGCAAGCTTCTCGAGATGATTTTTATGCAAGTCATAATAATAACACAGTATTTTACTTTAAAAAACGTTTAGATTGAAATACAGTTGAGTTTGAATATGTTAATATGAAGAAAATTTCAATTGATAATCATGAAGCTGACATTGTTCAAAATTCGCAGATTCATAAATTTCAATAAAACACTTAAAAGTTTTCTTTTTTTCAGATTCTTATTTCAAAATCTGAAATTTCTTCACTCTTTTCAAACATTCGAATCAGCGAGTCTGGGCAAATTCAAGCCTCTGGACAGAGCTTAAGCGATATCTTTTGAAGTTTCTGCAGAAGATGTTTTTTTTTGCAAAACTGAGTTAAATTTCTGGCATTCTACATCTTGAATTGCGTTTCACTGCTCAGTTCAGTTGATTGAAAACTTTACCACTTGATGATTTAATATTGGAAAGAATTCTGCATTTGTACAAAAAATAATTACAGTAAGCAATCTGGTAAGTTAATTGATATTTACCTAAAGGCTGCGAAATTTGATGGAGCGATGATCCAAAAAAACAAAAAGAGCTTCAAATGTCCAATAATCAAAACAACGGGTGGTTAGATAAAGAGTTACCGAGAAGGCATGATTAACATTTATTTTTTCATATAAATTGACTGAGACAAATTTAACATAGGGTTTTGCTTTACAAACCAACAAAAAGTTGGGTTATGCTTGTCATTACCGAGTCTTTGTTAAAAAGGATTTATTTTCACAAAGGATTGTTTATATAGTAAAAATAACCCTTACGCAATGTCCTCACTCGGTTTACCACCTACTCACTGTTTGAAAATTGGATAACTATTTGCGTCGAACTGAATTAAACAAAGTCCAGCAAATCTTTAGAGACTTGTTGTTATTCTGCCCCCCGCGCAAAATTTTTCGGGCCTTCGAGTTTGGCTATGATAATTGTTAATTCCTGAAGCCTAGGACTCAAGGTTGCCATCCATGGGCGAAAGTTTGGTTATTTTTTTTCGAAACTCACCAATAAATAAGATAAAGCAATTGTAGCTGGACCTTGCCATTTCTTTTTTGCAGCAAATATAGGAAAGCAGCTTCTACTTGAGATTTTTCTTCACTTTTAATTGTTCGCCAAATTGTGTAATTTTCAACTTGAAAAATTGGTAATACTGACAGTAATATTGACAACAAGAAATCAAAGATAAAGCTTTCGACACCGAGAGATAAATTTGATTCAATTATTTCAGCATTATTTCAAAAATGAGAAAGAGACTGAAGAAATATGGGTCTGTATGAGCTGAAATACATGTATTTTGTTGAATACAAGTTTTATTTTTTTGTGCTTTGCTGTAAATAAAACACCTGATTGAAGGTTTTCTAGTGAAATTGATTCATTTATATCCTGTCATGATTTCCTGGATGAGAGTTAGCCCCGATTATTCCTTTGATGATATTAAATAAGACACATCCCGCTTTTTTCATCAACAACTGGTTATGTTTTCCCAGCGAATATTCACATCTTCTTCGCAATCTCAACCCTATAAACTTCAAGGCGTTCCCTACTTTCCTAATTTTACTTTAAGACCACTGAAAAAAGTGAAAAAAGTGAAATTTTAAAGGCTCATGTTGAGCCACTATGGAAAAATTCGGTAGTAAAAATTTACCGCCGAGAAAACAAAGAACCAAACAAAGGCCTAATAAAAGACCTTTTTTATCTGAAAAATGATATTAAAATGAAATTATCGAGCATTGTTTTTTTTTGTCTTAATGTGTTTTCTAAAACAATTGGGAACCTCTGAACTCTCAATTCAGAAATGATTCCATTCAGAAAACCGGTTAATTTTGAATCGACAGCCAGACCCCCCTTTAAGTTGATCAAGTGGAGTTCCAGGTTTGATCAATGGAAAGTTTTTGCAAATAAACTATTCCAAATTACCTGCTCTTAAAAGGATGTTTGCGTTCATAATTCAAAAAACAAAAGCTAGAAGGCCAATTCAATTAATAGAAAAAAAACATACTTTGCTAACTACTTTTAAATGTAACATAATATAATCAATTGAAGTAGTCCCATTTTGTTATTACACGTTGTAATAATTTAAAATCCTCCCATTTCATGCCATGGTTCTCCCTCTTTTTTATATGATTTTTCAATCTAAAAATCAAAGATAATCAATTATTCCCCATTTGATGTAGTTTTCTCTATAGTCGACGTAGTTTCTGAAATATGTGTCGTCCAAGTACTCGGGTGTAAACTCATTCACAAAAGCGCACATATCTTCTTCAAAATACTTCACCGCAAACGACTTTGTGTAACAGAATTTCACATTCAGAAACCAATTTGGGGCAACATTTTCAGGAACTGAGAGTTTCCAGGACAATTTGCAACCCCCTTGTCGGTTATCGGTGTGATCGTAATAGCTGTTCATCAAGTCAAGTGATCCATTTTCAGTAAAACCTGAACAAATTTCTTCATTTTCTTGCGTTTCATTATTACCGCACTGTTCGAACGTATCCGAGTTGACTGCGTAATATTTGTAGCAGATTTTAACTTCTTTAAACCAAGGATCGACTTCTGTAGAGTTTCTGAGATACCAAACCATCGAGCATCCGCCATCATTTCGGGTCCAATCTTTGAAGATGTCAGTGTAATTGTTAATTTTGGTGCAAGAGGGCGACATACCCGAACAATACATGTCTTCCTCGTCGCTCTCGAATTCGAAGCACAATTCGATTTCCTGCCACCATTTCGGTTTGATCAGGTTAAACTTCACACTCTCGCCGATAGATCTTATAACTGTGTAATTATGCATGCTGTTAGCCGATTCTTCCGAAATGAAACCCAAAAGCGACTCCAGTTTTTTGAATCGCGGTTCCAAATCAGGAATCTTTTCGAATCTAGCTATTGTTGACTTGAGTTGAATCTCCAAATCAGAAAGATAAGCACCTTGTAAATACATTTGTTCTGCCTTAAACATTGAAAATCTTTTGTTATTTCCATGAATCAAGCCATGAATTGGTTTCAGCTCGACTTTGGATGGCCAATGGTACTTTGATATCAACTCGAGTCCCTTCATAGAAGTTTTGTGGGGCAATCCATCAAAATGACGACCCAAATTTGTTTCGTCATGATTACGGCTGTAAGCTAAGAACTCTTCACTTACATTGAAACGTTCTAAAACTGCCTCTTCGGCGGTTTGATTCTTCGACTGGGCGCGATATTTTTCCACAAAATATTTCATGCTTTGATCTTTAATATCTTGATCGCTGCTTTTAAGATGGTATTCCTTTGCGACCAAGAACTGATTTTTAATAAAATGACCAAACCTTGCCCAGCTAAGGTAATGAGTGCCAAATTTCTTGATAAACTCCTGATAGCCACTCGGATTTTCATCATAATTTGAAGATAAGTTTGCAACCATTTCTGCCGCTTTTTTACCAAGCTGGACATTTAAATCTGGGTTCAATTCTACGTCAATTGCATTGAATAGAGAGTAAACCTCGGAAATAACCGAATGGTACTCGTTCAGTTCAATACTTCGTCCCCTGTAAAGTTCGTTGCTCGAAAACTTCCCATAGTCTAGTAGAATTCCGCTTCGTTCGGCCATTCGACGCTTCACGTCGGCGAATGATCTGAACACTCGGAGAGATGATCGGATTTTGGGATTTGGCTCTTCATTTTTCAACTGAATTTGATCCGGTATTGAATCTAGAAATCATTGATTTTCTTACTATAGCATATTTTGTCAGTTTTGCGCTCAATTACTTAGCGAAGAATGAGCGATTAAAAATTGAATTTTCGATTAACAGATAAGGCTATGAAGAATTATTTAGCATAAGTTTCGATCTACTTAGAAAGCAGAATATAGGAGAATATACATTTTTTTAGCTCAACCAAACACATTTTTTTCCTGAAATGCCTAAAAGCCAAAATTTATTCATATCTGCGTCATAAATTTATTCATAACTTTTTTTCATATATATTTAAGTAGATGTAATTACAGTAAACTTCTAATTGTAAACCTGATTCAACTGTCCCGTTTAAGTCTTCCAAAGCTGTGCAACTGAAGTCGAACACTGGTTCTCTGAAACCAGTGGTCCTGGAATCGTCCAGGTAGAACACTGAGATGTCGACCCCTTTGGAAAACAGCTGAAGACCCTCTGGAGTGTCAGAACATTCTTCCACAGCTAAAAATACACAAATGGGTTATTTCTCCACCCTTTCTCGCAACAGTGGTCATAATCATTACCCAGTATTATTATTTAGCTTGAAGTCTCACTATTAGTTTCAAAATGTAAAGATATAAGATACGAATTTTTTTGTTTTGCTTTCTACTTTTAAAACAGATTTAGACAATTCGAATGTTTTCAATATAATTATTGACAAAAATAGTCTTCGTAAACATGTTGATACAAAAAAGACTAACTCTCACCAAAAACGCAGGTCTGCAGTAAAGTCAGCAAAACGATAAGTAGCATCTTGTATGGCATTTTCATTACAGTTTCTCCTCTGTTTTTAAATTTCACCTAATTTATTTTATCATTCGCCATTTGGCGACCTTTATTCGTTAAACATTACACAATGTTTACAATTAGCAATGAAAACGGTAAAACAATTTCAATAGGCGTGAAAGGTCAATAGGCTAAAGTTTTAATTTTATATGATTCTATTATAATATATCTTATTCACAAATCATTATTTGATTTTCTTAAAAATAAATCTAAATTGAAAAATTAGAACCATTTTTGTGCTAATCGGGAAGACAGTGCTATGGGCAGGACCGGATTTAGGGGGGAGAGGTGGCGAGAAGGGGAGCGGATGTTTCCCCCTCAGGGATTCGATACCTTTTGATAATATTTCGCCACATCCATTTTTGATCAATCTAAGATCAGTTTGGTTGATTAAAAAATGAAAATTTCAGCGCTAATTTGCACAACTAGTTTGAGAGATAAAGCATGCAAAAAGTTGCAACTTTAGGTCAAAACTTTGCAAAAAGCTCTTCAAAACTTCTTTCTTGTCACAAAATTTCTAAAATTCGCATGCTCCTCGAAAAAAATGCCTCGACCCAAAGTCTTCAATGTGGCCAACCTTAAAAGTATTTGAAGAATTGTCGCCATATGTTTGAAAATCCGCCGCTCTTCTGAAGAAAATCATAAAGCTCAGATCCCAGTCTGACTAAAGGAGCTACTTTTGACAGCTGTACGACAGCTCGTAACAGGCGACAGAACGTAATAAGTGACATCGGGTAACAAGCTACAATTTGCATCCAGGCTTTGACAAGTAGCTACCGCTCTCTAAGCTGCGCTTTCACTCGTAAAATGGTAGTGTGCGTGCATCAGCTTTTGCTGCTCAATTAACTGTTTCCAGCATCGAGCGCGCGTGGATCTATAGATGAGGTAAGTGCCCTCGGCTATGAGAGATTGTGTAGGTCTAGAATTTTATACTGAGAATGTGACCGGAGTATCTAATGAAAAGTTTTTCACTGAAGTTGTCCTGCTGCCTGGTTCTTCCCGATCGTTCAAAAACTGTAGCAGGCACAATGCTAAAGCTTTGAGTTCGACGAACTTGGCTGAGTCTTTTGATTTGAAACATCAGTCTTACCATATTAGTTTTCATACTAATATAATTAGTTCTCATTGTAGGGAGAATGCTACCCTAAGATTTCGAGCTACCTCATGAAGTAATCTCTAGAAGGAAACACTCATCAACAGTTATTTGCTCATCATCATACTCATCGACAAAAAATTTGCTCAACAACAACTCATCATCTATTATCCGCTCATCGCTAGCTAAGTTCCCTTCTTGATCGTGAGAGGTCGTTTTCTTGAAGATGGTCTGGTTGACTCTGAAATCAGGGTCCGAGCGACGTTTTCCGATGGCGCCAGCTCAATCGCTGCCCTCGTCCTTGGTCCTGATTTATTCTCGCTCAATTTTTTTTTCATTAACTTGGTTTTAGTTGAGAGATGATGTCTTCTTTGACTATTCGAGGGACCATTTTCTGCAGCGATTGATTAGATGATCACGGGAAAGTGATAATTCCCGCAATTTCGTTGTCAGCGGTCCTTTTTGAGGAATGAGGAATGTTGGTCAGAATTAGTGTTGCAACAATAGTTCGAAAGTTCGAACGTTCATTCGCGAGATTGACATTCGAATGCTAATTTCATCATTAGAATATAGACGCATGCTGCTCTGTAATTGGTTGGAAAAGGATCGAGCCCACCATCAGAGCGTGTTTTTAGTACAGCTGGTGATGTGTTAACAAGAAAACGCAGTTTGTCATTTGGGTAGCATGTTGCTATATGCAAATCTTTATGTGTGATGATTGGTATTTGTTAACTACGTACCTCGAAATTGAATATTTCATTAATTTTTTTGCGAAGGCTCCAGTTTTTTTGTGGAAAATAATTACCTCTCAGAAATTTTGGAAAATTCAGCATTCGAATGTGTCATGAGGCGACCTGGGGTTACCTCGTTTACAACTTGTTCTTGTAACAGCCATGCTGCAGACTTATATTTATCTTTGCTGATCAAGGTCACAGATCTGGCCTTTACCGAATGCCACGCTATGCGTGGCCACTCTGTTGTTTTGTTACATCGTTGTTAGATGTCTATTCATCTCTCTTGTCTCCTATTTCTCTCGGTTGAAGTTCTGGCCGATAAAATACTTAATTGGAACAAAGTATCTAACATTAACTCTTGCAACTAACTAAACAACTAATCTATCAATTTACTTCTTACGAAACAATTAAGTTTTGACTCGTTATTTCTCGGCAAATGTGATGGCACAGCCAACAGTTCCTGTGAACAAAGACAGGACTGACTTGTTAGGTATTCCTCCCTTTTGAGCAAAACCATCTGTTAATTCTCTGGGAATCTTGAAAAGGTCAATTCTTCCTTGCAGTGGGTCTAAAGGACAACATCAACCCTCATGACCTTCCAGTAGAGCCTGCAGAGATCATCCATGATCCCCCTCCGAAGCCAGAGGAAGTTGTCACTGGAGAAAATGCTGGGGAGGCGAATGCTCGAGTCCTTCGAGATCAAGCGGCGATTCGAAGAGTAAATGAGTTGAATGTCGAACGCAGGAGAAAAGGCCCTAGAATTAGCCAAAACTGGTTTTATCACGAGGCTGCTGAGGCTCATTTGAAGTCCTGTTTGTTCTTCTCATTAGGAAATAAAGGAAAGAGACGCTTTGCAGACTCCTTCCCTCACACGAACATTAGCGCTACTCCTTTTCGAGAATTTCACAATAGCTGTGAAACGTTGTTCAAGGTGGAACGGGATTAGACTGTTGAACGTATCAAGCTTTATAAAACAAAATCCACGCTTGAAATGACACCTTTTCTTCATTTTACGCTCGACTTAGCGCTCAGATTGCCCTGTGTAACTGGCCCAACGCTCAAGAAAGGGAAACACTAAAAGATCTTTTCATTGGACGAATTCGAGATGTAGATGTTCAGCAGCAACTTATCAAGGCTAAGACAGATTTGGATAAACCTCTCAAACTTGCACTGGAGTGTGAAATAGGGGCTAGTACGTCCGCGCAATTCCATAAACTACTCCCACACAATCAGTTTTCCAATACTATTAAGGTTAAACAGGAACCCACTTTCTCAATTCAGTCGTCTCGAGGACAACGTAATTATCCTCAAAACCAAACCAATCGACAAAACACGCAAGGTAACCAAGTGAACAAATCATGCTAATTTTGCGGTAATCCTTTTAGTCCGGATCACAGAAAATCTTGTCCAGCTCGGGAAGTTACTTGTAATCTCTGCAAGAAACGTGGTCATTTTGCAAAGTGCTGTATTTCGTCAAAACGAAGAGTGAACTTGATTCACGAGAATGAGGAAGCGTGGGGTCCCTCTATAGATTGTAATTTCATAGATGCTGAGTATGATAGTGAACCAGAATATGGTGCTTTGCAGCTAGAAAGTGCAGTCAAGATCAATAGTTTTCAGCTCCTCAAGTGAAACAGAGGGAAACCTAGAAGCCTCCGCATTCTTTTATTCAACCGTCGATACGGGAAGCCCAGTTTCGTTCCTCAATAAACGCACTTATGACCTATTTTTACAACGTAACCAGTCTATTGAATTTCGCGATATCACACGATACCCTTTTGATACTTTGTACATCGATTAAAACAAACAACCCATTCGTCTTCTCGGTTCGGTTCGGATCCCGATTTCTTCTAATGGTTGAAAAGTGGAGGATGCTCATTTCCTCGTTTCCGAAAATAGAACTCGAAATAATTTGGGTCTGGATTTGCATGAACAGCTAGGTGTGGTAACAACCCAATTGAGGGCTGAACCTGTTCATCAGCTCGAGGATATTACTCAGGATCCAATATTAGAATATTGGGGTTCATTCTTTGCCCATAAATACGCCCATGTCTTCAGTCGATTAGGCAGATCCAAACATCACAAAGTCTACACTAATTTTAAATTCCCTCTCGTACCTCGTCAAGTTAAAGGACGTAAAGTTCTGATCCATATTAAGGATAAAGTTGCAAACAAATTCAGATAATTAATGGAACAAGGCCATATTGAAAAACTGGATAAATGTACGACAGAATTTTTCATAGCGCCCATTGTGTTAAAAGCTCATTTAAACTTGCCCTTAACGCTAAGCCGATGAACGCTCAGATCTGGAAAAACAAGTACCAGATGCCAAACATTCATGAACTCATCAATTCAGTGGCTCAAATCATAACTAAAGATGCACCTGGCGAGGTTTGGTTCACATCCTTGGATTTGAAGTATGCTTTCAGTCAGTTGCCGCTGTCATCCTTTACTAGTAGTCATTGCAATTTCAACATCTTGTGTGGGGATGCTACGGGGACGTACAGATTCAAAACCGGGTTTTATGGCCTAACTGATATGCCAACCGAGTTCCAGAAGGCAATGGAGTGTACTTTACAAGGACTAGAGGGTGTCATTTGTTAACTGGTTGACGTTTTACTAGTCACAAAAGGGGATATTCAAGAACATAACGAATTGGTAGAGAAGGTGATGCAAAGACTTGATGCGGAAGGCTGGGCTCTGAAACTCAGTAAGTGAGAATTTTCAGTTAAATAACTAACTTGGTTAGAGTATGACATTAATGAGGACGGTTACTCTCCTAAATTTTCAAAAATTGATGCAATTCAATCACTCAAGCCTCCAAGTTTTTTGAAACAGCTACGTTCGTTTATGGGAACTTTAAATTACATGCAAAGGTTTATACCCAATTCGCATACCCATAAAATTGATTGATTTCCGGTAATCTTTAAAGGCTGAAACAAACAGTCGTTTCTGTGGGGAGGGGAGCAAGATAATGTGTTCAACATTATCCTCAATCTGGTAGCCAAAATCCCTAGCCTTTTTCATTACGTTTCTTCTAAAAAATCAAGGGTAAAATGTGACCCTAGTGATAACGGGCTAGGAGCTTGCCTTGAACATGAAATTGAACCGGGAATTTGGTCACCAACTGCTTTTGCTTCGCGTTTTCTTAATAATGCGGAGGCGAAGTTTAGTACCAACGAGTTGGAATTGTTAGCAATTGTTTGGGCTTGCGAACACTTTTCGTACTT